GCAGACAAAGCCCCAGGCAAAGATTCACCCACACTTGTCTACAATAGCGAAAATGGAAGCAAATTAAAATATCGAGTGATAAAGAATTGGTTAAATAAATTGAGACACACTGATAGGATGGAATATGCAGCTGATGAACATTTTATTTATAAAAAGTTCTGTAAAACACAGAGAAGTGCTGGAATAAAGTGATGGAACAATAAAGTGGAAAAGGCAGGATACAAAGTTGTATATACAAGATAATTGCTCTGTAAAAAGAACACCGGCAAATTATGTGGAGAAGAAAAGAGTGGAAGGAAATACAACAAAATGAAATAATGATAGTCTCTGGTGAGACAATGGGTAACATTTTTTCTTCCTTTTCTTTTTCCTCTCCATCTTTGCAAGTTTTGCATACCGAACAACTCTTAATTTCACTTTTTAAAGGAAATAGGGCCAGGCGCGGTGGCTCACGCCTGTAATCCCAGTAATTTGGGAGACTGAAGCAGGAGGATCATATGAGGTCAGGAGTTCGAGACCAGCCTGGCCAATATGGTGAAACCCTGTCTCTACTAAAAATACAAAAATTAGCCTGGTGTGGTGGTGCGTGCCTGTAATCCCAGCTACTCAGGAGGCTGAGGCAGGAGAATCGCTTGAACGTGGGAGGCGGAGGTTGCAGATCAGGCCACTGCACTCCAGCCTGGGTGGCAGAGCGAAATTCTATCTTAAAAAACCAATAATAATAGAAAAAGAAAAAAAACAGTAGTTGTGCTACTTTACCCCCACTCCCTGACCCCTCCTCCAGGGGGCTGGACTTGGAGTCACCTTCAGGTATCCACCCTGTTCCTACTCTCCTCCGTGTTGGACACCCACATGCACTCTGGTTTCCTACTCTTCTCTCTAGCCACCAGAACCCATAGGCAAGTAGCCCTTTCTAGACAAGGAAGGAGCCAAGATTTTCTTCATCATTTTTCCAAAGGCAAGAAGGCATGGCCAGGGAGGGCGAATGGAAAGCAACTACTCTCTGCTGGTCCTGGGCTTATCCCTGCAATGTGCACCTGACCTGATCCAGGCTTGGACTTAGGCAGGCCTCAGGGGAGTGCCCAGCTGGGTCATGGTGTCATGGACAGAGCAGATCTTATGGGGGCAGGTGGGAGACGTCACAGCCCAAATGCAGACTCTAAGCTGGAGGGGTCTGAGCGTTCATCAGGCCCGCTGGTCCTCAAACTCAAGTGCGACAGTCACTGGGCATTGTTAGAAATTCAGAGTCCTGCACCAAGTCTCAGAGATGGTTTTGGTGGGTCTTGGTTGGCCCAGGAATCACATTTTTCACAAGCTTCCTGAATAGTTGGGATGCAGGGGGTTCAAAGAGGAGCCAGAATCCCAGTCTCACCCCAGCATGCTCCTCGTCATCACCAGCTGATGCAGGAGACCACAGGACTGAGTCTGAGGACAAGGGAGGACAAGGTGGGGTCTGGAGCGGGAGGAAGGCAGGCCCGACACTGGCCATGAGGCCCAGGAGAGTTTGTGGCAGATAGAAACTCAGAACAGATCCACTGAGCCTTGCCTGGCCCTGCTGAGGGTCAGCACCTGGTGCCCTGCCTAGGGATGTGAACCTATCAGGGATGTCCCAGTCTCCAGCTGGAAGGGCAAGGCCACCGCTCTGGGCTTCAGGGCTGACAAACACTTCTAGGTCAGGCTGGAGCATGCAGGAGGAGAGCCTGGGGAGGGTTGGGAGAGCCTGGAGTCCAGGCAGCTGGACTCTGAGGCTGAGGTGGAAAGCTTTCGGGAATCAGTGCTGATCCAGCCAGCCACACTGCTTCACGGCTGGCCTGGCCAGGAGGGCCTCCTGCCCTACACTGAGACAAACTTCGAGAAACCCAGCTCCTCCTCAGATGTGTGGAGGGGAGGCATCGAGATCACGTCCCCCTCGGGGGCCTGGGAAGGGGCTTCCTCTTCCTCTGTAGTCTGTAAAGACAACAGTGGGGTTTGGAGAGCAGAACCCAAATGAACGGGTAGGGGGTGTGAGGAGTGGTCCCCAGGTAGCTGCTGTGTCCACCCAGCCTTTTCCACAAATTCCAGCCCTCCATCCACCTGCAGGGGCACATGACCTAACAACTTCTCCTCCCCAGAACTCCCAGGCTTTGATTCATGGCCTCTCATGACCCCAATCCATCCCTCCCCCGGGGTGCCCTCAAGGCCCCAGGCTGGGTTCTGGTGCAGTTGTGGCCTCCTGCCAGCCCACAGGACTGTCAGCTGTGACTCCCAACAAGCTATTCAGGAATTTTCTGGACCGGAAAAAAGAGGACGTGAGGTCAAAAGCCCTGGCTTCCCTGGTGAAATGGGCTAGGGCTGTGGCTGTGATGGGGAAGGTGGGTGAATGCGGGGGCGTGGGGTTTGGGGAGCAGATGCTGAGGAAAAGGCCTTCTTCCACTTCCTCCAATTGTCAGAGTGGAGGCAGGCAAGGTGGCTCTGCAGCCCCTCCCTTCCCAGGGCCCTTCTGTCCATACCTGGCTTAGATACTGGATCTCTGTGTGGAGGTTGGGAGAGGGCTCGGGGATGGTGAGAGGCCCCATGGACCCTGCAGTGTTGATCACGGCGTCCTCTGTGTCCCGGCCATTCCCCAGTGGCTGTAACAGAGACTTGGTCAGAACAGCCTGTTCTTGGCAGCAGGGATGGTCTATGAGCCCAGCCAAGCCCAAGCAAGGGGAGGGAAACGTGGGAGGGGTGGGCAAGGCAGGGAGGTGCTGGGATGGGAGAATATTAAGCTCCTGCGTGCCTCTGCCACTTCCTTCCTGCCTGCCTTGTCCAAAGAAGGACGAGCTGTCTCACCTCTCTGAAGCTCAGTTTCCTCAGCTGTAAAACTAGGTAAGAATTTGTCCTTTGGGATTATAATATTCATAATAGCATCCTACCACTCAACCAATGAGAACTTCTGGAATGACTGGTTTGTTTTCATTATTTTCTATCCTTTAAAGCAGAAAGATCATGCAGGCTGCAGGTTCTTTGTAACAGGCCAGGAGAAAGCAAAGTTGAACATGCCAAAGATGCATTGAATAACAAGGGGCACATGAGCTAATGGGTCTGAGCAATCCATTATCCATCAGATGAGGAGACCACGGCCCAGGGAAGAGAGAGGTAGTCCAAGATCAGTGGGGAGGCCCATATTCTGACCCGGGCCTGGCTGTTCCCATGGGTCCTCAGATCAGGAACGCCAGGCCCATCCATCTCGGGCCTTGCCCTAGCAGGTGGGCAGAGCAGAGGCTGGAGCCGGCCAAGGTCCCCAGCCAAGACTCCCAAGGCTACAGGCTGCCCTGAGGTTTCCTGGACAGTGAATCCCATGGTCAAATGGGCACTGATGCTAGAGAAAGAAGCTCCCATTTTTTGGGCATCTATGGGGTATGTCATCTCACTCTTTTCTACTTACAACTATGTGAGCTACGGCAATAGGGGCTCAGAAAGGTAGTGCAACCTGCTTGACATCACACAGCTGGCAAATGGCTGAGCCGGGACTCATACCGGAGACTGTCTGACTGCAGACCCAAGTTCTTTCCCTATACCCTGCTGCCATCCTGGCAGGGTGTGTGACACATTTCTCTTGGGCTTGGTGTTCGTGGTATACTAACCAGGCCCCAGCTTCACTCAATACCTAGCTTCTGGGGATGGGGGCAGAGGTAGATGTTTGAACCATCTCTTGTTAGAAATGTCTAGATGAAGGCTGGGTGTGGTGGCTCTCGCCTGTAATCCCAACACTTTGGGAGGCTGAGGCTGGAGGACTGCTTGAGCCCAGCAATTTGAGACCAACCTGGGCAACATAGTGAGACCCTGTTTCTCTAAAACTTTAAATTAAAAAGATAAAAATATACTAAAGACACTCTGGGAGGCCAAGGCGGGCAGATCATGAGGTCAGGAGATTGAGACCAACTTGGCTAACACAGTGAAACACCGTCTCTACTAAAAAATACAAAAAATTAGCTGGGCTTAGTGGCGGGCGCCTGTAGTCCCAGCTACTCAGGAGGCTGAGGCATGAGAATGGCATGAACATGGGAGGCAGAGCTTGCAGTGAGCCGAGATCACGCCACTGCACTCCAGCCTGGGTGACAGAGCGAGACTCTGTCTCAAAAACAGAAAACAAAAAACAAACAAACAAACAAACAAAAACTAAAGAAAAGAAAGAAACACAGGATGACATCTTCAGCCTTCTGGAGACAAGGATTAGAGCTGAATTCCTTGGGGGAAATGTGGGTGGTGATGGGGGCACTGGGAGGGGTAAGGCAACTCCCAAATGCTGCCACTCAGGGCTCTTGTCCCTCCTAGCCCTGCCCATGGTGAAGACAGAGGGGGCCTTGGTGCAGGGCAGACCTGGGGCTACTCCAGAGGACTCCTGACATCACACCCATGAGTCCATATTTACAGCTTTGCAGTCTGGTTATAACCCAGCCACTGCTGACCCTGGACCACCAGCAGCTACAGAAGCGTCACCTGTTCCTGGGTGACCGAGTTTGAGGAAAGAGCCTCTCAGTGCAGAGGCCAAACCACACACAGTAGTAGGCAGCAGCCAGGCCCACTACTGTAAGTCTGGTGTGATTCCATCTCTCCCCTGTCCCTCTGCCTCCACTGTGGACGATCAACCCTGTTCCAGCAAGCACAGAGGCATTTTCTGGGTTGCTAAATATGCAAGATATATATCAGAGCCCCTGTTTCTAGGTACTAGTAATAAACGTAGTAAAGAAAGAGGGAAGTCTTGGGAAGCCCGGTTGAGTTCTGATGGGAGCTTAGCAGGCTATTCATTTCCAGGAGCGAGGGTCTGCAGCTGTCCCAGGGTCTTTCTCCTGAGTCTGGGGGAGGAATCTTGGGTTGTGAGCTTGGCTCCATTCCTTAAACCCCTTGTACTTCAGTGCAGCAGGGTGGAGGACACAGAGGGCTCTGCAGCTGGCCCCATAGACCTGTCAGTTTCCCCAGTTCTGCCACTTTCAGGCTGGGTCACTGTAGGCAAGTTCCCTTTTCTCTCTGAGCCTGTATTTCTTTTCTTTTCTTTTCTTTTTTTGTTACTTAGTTTTTATTTCATAAACATAAACTTAATTCTGCAATCCAGCTAGGCATGGGAGAGAACAAGGAAAACATGGAACCCAAAGGGAACTGCAGCGAGAGCACAAAGATCCTAGGATACTGCGAGCAAATGGGGTGGAGGGGTGCTCTCCTGAGCTACAGAAGGAATGGTCTGGTGGTTAAGATAAAACACAACTCAAACTTATTCGAGTTGTCCACAGTCAGCAGTGGTGATCTTCTTGCTGGTCTTGCCATTCCTGGACCCAAAGCGCTCCATGGCCTCCACAATATTCATGCCTTCTTTCACTGCCAAAGACCACATGCTTGCCATCCAACCACTCAGTCTTGGCAGTGCAGATGAAAAACTGGGAACCATTTGTGTTGGGTCCAGCATTTGCCATGGACAAGATACCAGGACCTGTATGCTTCAGGATGAAGTTCTCATCTTCAAATTTCTCCCCATAGATGGACTTGCCACCAGTGCCATTATGGCGTGTGAAGTCACCACCCTGACACATAAACCCTGGAATAATTCTGTGAAAGCAGGAACCCTTATAACCAAATCCTTTCTCTCCAGTGCTCAGAGCACGAAAATTTTCTGCTGTCTTTGGAACCTTGTCTGCAAACAGCTCGAAGGAGACGCGGCCCAAGGGCTCGCCGTCGACGGCAATGTCAAAGAACATGGTAGGGTTGACCATGGCTAGTAGTACAGGACTTTCCTCGGCGGCAGCGTCTGCAAAGCCGAGCCTGTATTTCTTCATCTGCAAAATGAGGGGGATAATAATCTACCTCGTGTGGGAATGATGAGGATTCAATGGCATATATAAAGCCCCTGACATGAATGGATGGATGGCAATCCTTCTAGCAAGATCTCTTTGGGAAAGAAAATGCTGGTCTGACCCCTAACACTTCCCTCAGGGTTTTCACACCCCTGTGAGGTTCTCTCAGAGTATGAGTAATGCATCCCCCTCCCTCTTTGACCTGAATGTGGGCAAAGAAAACCCCAAAGCCCTTCAATTCCATCTCCAGACTCTGCTAAAACTTATGGAGAAGCCATAAGGGAAATAATCAAGAAAAAGCAGAACCTCCCACCTGATCGTATTTACAAGGTTCTTGCCTCTGACCCTCTTGGGAGGCCCCGTTCCATCTTTCCCTCAACAAGGGACTGCCCCTAGAGACCCTCTACCTGCTGGCCCTGTGCCCCTTCCTGTTCCCTCCCTCTTCAGCAGAGCCAGGGTCAGGTGCCTCAGGCAGGAAAAAGCCCAAAGCAGCCCTTCCCAGGGTTGCCAGAAGGCAGTAGCATGGGAGCTGTGGCTGGTACAGGCGCTCTCAGCATCCTTGGACCCAAACCCCTCTTCTGGAGCTAGGTGGGGTGAGACCCAGGCCCCAGGCCACAGAGCCAGGAGGCCGGACGTGGAGGCGGCCAGTGGCACCCACCATCCGTCCATCCATGTGTCTCCATGACTTTTCCCTTACTCCCCTCCGCTACCTTTGGCCCTGTTGAGCTTCCTGACACAACAACAGCTGCTTCCTAAGCCACAGCCCAAAGTCCCATTTCCACCCCAGACCATCCTTGGGGGGATCAGGCCTGAGTCTTTTGTCCTCACTGGCGCCAGGAAAGAAGGCAGTGGTAGCCCTGCTTTCCTGCCCTTGTGTTTAAAGGAATGGAGTGGAGGCATCTCAGTAAACAGCGGAGGGAGGAGGGGCCAGAGGCTTCTGTTTCCTGAAGTGCAATGCTGCAGCCCCCTCCATTAGAGTGCTGGCCTCGGAGGGCACAGTCTCTTCTTGCAGCAGTAGCCTTGGGGCAGGTTCCCTGCTCCAGATAATGGGCACAGGGACCCTTATTCTCTTGCCCCTGGTCCCCAGAGCACCACCCTCAGCCTGGGTCCTAGGGCAGCCATGTCACCTTGGTCTCAGAGCCAAGGAAGGCTCAGAGAAAACATCAGGGAGTACTGGAAAGAGAAGAGCAGAGAGTCAAGAAATCTGGATCCTGTTTTCTATTTGGGCCACCACCTGCTGTGTGACCATGGGCAAGACCTTTACCCTCTCTGGGCCTCAGTTTCATCTTTTGTAAAAGCACACTAGAGTCTGTAGCACTGCCAGAGTCCCTGGACCACACCCCTGGAAGGTTCAGCGGGGGCTGGGGCCCTGGAGAGTGCATCTCTAAGAGCTCCCTGACTCCTGGGCATTCTGAAAGGGGATTTGCTTTAATCTGAGAGAAAGATTGGGCTAGAGATCTCAAAGGCTTCCTCTGGATCTAGCTCCGATGTTCTGTAATTATAAAAGGAGGCATGGAAAGAAGGCGCCTGGAGAAGATGCTCACATGGCTCCTGGTGCCCACCCTGCCTGGCACCTGGTGCGAGATCAGGTTCCCACCTGTGAGTCCCCCACGGGCACTCTGTCCAGCTCACACCCTGAAGGACTGGTCTTGGGGCTCACAGAGGTTCCTCCAAGATGGGGAGCAAGTGCTGCCTCCAGGTCAGGCATGCAGGCCCAGGTAGGAAGTTACAGAAGCAGAGCCCAGAAATCTTGACTTGCAGCCCCAAGGGGATCTCAGCTTGGGCTTCCTTACGCCTCTGTCCTTACCAAGTGTGAGAGGTAGACCTTCTCGTTCCTCTGTGTCTCCGTGGCCTGTTGAGCTGAAAGAGATGTAGAAGGAGGAGCTCCTTGAAGCCAGGTGTAGCCGGGAATGGCCTGGAGCTCGGCCCAGAAAGGTGTACTGGCCCACTTGCATAAGGGAGCAGGGGCCTCCCAGAGGCAGGAGGCAGCCAGATGGGCAGAAGAGCCCCTTCCAGCTCAGCCCCTTGGAAATGACCCAGTCTTCTGAGATCAGTGCATGGAGATGATCTCATGAGGGTCAGAAACTGGCTGGGAAAATAAATTTATGTGCTAAGGTCACTGCTACTTAAGCCTTAGTGTGCACATAGGACCCCCTGGACATTTTCATACAGTGCAGAGTCTAATTCAGTAGGCTGAGGTGAGAGTCTCAGGGTCTGTATTTCTAACAGGCTACCAAGGGTTGCCACCGATGCTAGCTGGCAATCAAAGTTTGGGAGGCAAGGTGCTAAGTGGCTCTGAGGTTGTGACCAGGAATGCTCCCACCCTGGATTCCTCAGAGGGGACCTGGACAAAGCCCACATTTCCTCCTAGGAGCCACATGGAAGAGACGGAAAGCGGGCCCAGGATTCCCCCATGGCCACCTCCACGGGGACGACATTGTGATTATCTTCCTGGCTTCACCACTTCCTAGCTATGCAAACAAAGGGCAAGCTGCTTAACCACTCTGTGCCTCAGTTTCTCCCTCTGGAAAATGGGTGTACTCCACAGTGTGGAGGAGATTAAAGGGGATAAGCAAGATAAGCTGGGGATAGTGCCTGGCACATGGTAGCTCTTATTACTGAGATTTTGGTTAATCCTTTTAGTCTTTGCCATCCAGCGCAGCAGCCAGAGGCCACACATGGCCATCAGGCACTGAAATGTGACTATTTTACATTAGACTGGGTTTTGATGGCTCAATATGAAAAACATGAAAGTAGAATACATATCATTGATATTTTCATATTGATTCCGTATCAAAATGAGAATGTTTTGGATATATTGGGTTAAATAAAGTACATTATTAAAATTAACTTCACTAGATTGGGCATAGTGGCTCATGCCTGTAGTTCTAGTTACTTGGGAGGCTGAGGCAGGAGGATCGCTTGAGCCCTGGAGTTCAAGGCTGCAGTGAGCCATGATCACACCACTGCACTCCAGCCTGGGCGACAGAGTGACCCTATCTCTAAAAAAATAAGTAATTAAAATAAAATAAAATACACTTAACTGCACTCATTTCTTTTTACGCTTTTTCATGTGGCTATTCAAAAGTTTTAAATGACATTTGTGACTTGTATTCTATTTCTGTTTGATGTATATCTGTGATTTGAGATAAATGAGGCTTAGGGCAATTAGATGACTTGCCTGAGCTCACACAGCTAAAAAGTGGCAGAGCTGGGATTTGAGCCCCAGCCTATGGAAGGGACTGAGCAGCTCTAGAGACCCAGTGGCAGGAGTGGGGTTACAATGTCTGTCCTGCTCAAGTTCAAGTGCTTGGTCCTGCATTGCCCCTGGCAGTTGGTTCCCACACAAGGAGCTGGCCATGAATTCCCTGGGATCAACAGGTAGAGAAGTGTTTGATCAGTTCGGATAGGCAGGAAGAAGCTGAGAACCCTTCATTCTCCCACTTCCCCTTGTGAATTGCTTTCCTAATGTTGATTACCTCGTGGCTCCTTCAGAAGGGAGGCCACAGCTCCTGATGCCCACAATTCAGACAGACACGCTGAGACTCACAGGGTCTTTCCGGGGCTAGATGGTGAGCTGCAGGTCTCAGCGAGGTCCCTGATCCAGTGAGCCTCCCACCTTCCTGCCACCCACCTTTGCTCACCTTCCTTTCTCCACAGGAGCAGGTGGTTGCTGAAGGCGATCAGGACTGCGGCTGACAGAAGGCTCAGCAGTACCAGGACTGGGGCCAGTATGCGGACCATTGGGATGGACACCCTGGAGATGAGACACAAGGAGCCTAGTGGCTGTTACCAGATAAGCCAGAGTCTATGTCCTTTGGGGGTCCCAAGTACAGGCTGAGAAAGCCAATTCCTAGTGTGGAATTCAATTCAATGCAGCAAAGACTTGTGGGGGGTGTGGTGCGGGAGGGTGATATTTAGTGCTATTGGCTCTTGATAATCATTATTTAATTAGTGCAGATCCTGAAGCCAGGCTGTCTGGATTCAAACTCTATCTCCACCACCTTCCTATACCTTGGGTAAGTGACTGAACCGCCCAGGGTGTCAATTTCCTCTTTTGTAAAATGGCTGTGGTGAGGATCAAATGGGTCAGGATGTGTAAAGCACAAAGTTCAGGGCCAGACACATGCCAGGTACCATGTCAGTGTTAGTTGTTTTTTTGTTTTTTTTTTTTTTTTGAGATGGAGTCTCGCTCTGTCGCCCAGGCTGGAGTGCAGTGGCCGGATCTCTGCTCACTGCAAGCTCCGCCTCCCGGGTTCACGCCATTCTCCTGCCTCAGCCTCCCGAGTAGCTGGGACTACAGGCGCCCGCCACCTTGCCCGGCTAGTTTTTTGTATTTTTTTAGTAGAGACGGGGTTTCACCGGGTTAGCCAGGATGGTCTCGATCTCCTGACCTCGTGATCCGCCCGTCTCGGCCTCCCAAAGTGCTGGGATTACAGGCTTGAGCCACCGCGCCCGGCCCAGTGTTAGTTGTTAAAGTCCACAATCCCTGTGTAACTAGGTAGGAGTGGCTCAATTTCACACTGGAGAAACTGACAACTGAAGCAATGAGCGACTTGCCAGGTCACGCAGTGGTGTGCGGGGAAGTTCTCAGTGGCCTTTATCTGGGCTGGTGTCACTGGCACAGGCAAGTGGGGCATCCTGGCATTCTTACTGTGAGTCAAGCCATGTCCTTTATCTCTCCCAAGGAGATCAGAGGGCACTAGGGACCACGATGTCCCATCAGCCCTGTCTGGTGTGGGAGGGATCCCTGCTCCCATTGCCAACCCCAGGATTCACTTTCAGCAGGATCTGAACCTGCCAGCGGCTGCCTGGATGTCGGTAGCGAAGTGCATTTACAACCCCCAAGAACCAATCCTTCAGGCTGGGACTCCAGTTGTAAGGAAAAAAATTGTTTTGTTTTGGATTCTGAGTTTTCATGTTTGGCACAGGGCTTAGGGCAAAGTATACAGGCAAAAGTCCCCGAACTGGGGGGGCCATCCCTGAGGCTGGGGCAGGGAGAGAGGTGGGGACTGGGGCCCTGGTGGACCCTTCGCCTTGGACAGGCAGCAGAGCTGCTGGCTCCTATAGTGCAAGCTGTCCACTGCTCAGGGGCCCCTGTGAGGGACCCTCTGTGCTGCAGGCTGTGGCCATGACACGAGGATGTGTCTGCTTAGAGGAAAGACCACTGGGTTCCTATTTGCCCAAAGGCAACTTATGGTTTAATGATGGCCTGAAAGATGATGTTCGTCACCTGGGGCTCACCTGGGCTTAGAGCTGCCGCTGCTGAGAGCTGGACTGGCATCCTCTGCTGAGGTGGAGTCCAGCTGCTTCGGGGGGCGGGAGCTCCCTGCAGGAGGAGAGGTCGCTGCATGAAGAGAGGTTGCTGCGTACTGAGAAGTTCTTTCGTGCCCGTACCGGGAAGTCCCTGGGAATGGAGTGGCCTCAGCCCCTGTCTTCCCCTGCTTGGCTGTGGTTCCTGCTGGGTAGAGCCCAGGAGAAGCTACAAGTCCAAAAGCAATGCCTCAGCATCCTTCCTGACCCTTGCATTCCAGCATCCCAGACCTCTGACCCTTGACCCCTGAACCCTAGCCTCTCTGGGACCCATTTCTCAGAACATCCCCAGCTAAAGGATATCCCAGTAAGCAAACAGATGTAGATGAAGCCATTCTGAGGAAGGAGACCGTAGATCAGACACACCCCACAGCTGTGTGTGATGTTCAGTCTCTTTCTGTGCCCACAGCCTGTTCCCTCTGTGGGGAGGTATAAGCACTCCCCTTCCCTGCTTCCATGACCCTTTCCAGTGACCATTCAGTGGACATCTTCCTGCCCTCCCTCTACCGTCACAGTCAATTGTCACCTCCTTCCTCACCAGACGGGCAGGTCCTCCCCTCACCACCATGTGCCCCCTCCCCACCACCCGTGCCTCAGTAAGGCCTTGACTTCCTTCTGCAGCCATGAGACCAAGAAGGGCAGGGTGGCAGGGATGAGTCCAGAGGTCAGGGCCCAACACCCGGCCTTTCTGGCTTGACCCCGAGACTCTGGATGGCACAGACAGAACACGAGCTTTGGGGTCAGGCTGTGACCACTTCCAGGCTCTGGCGCTTCCTGCGTGACCCTAAGTGAGTGACCTGACCCTAAGCGAGTGATCTAACCCTGCTGAGCCTGTACTTCCACAGCTGGACAACCCAGTTCCCAGGCTTGTGGGGACACCTAAGTGGTCATAAAGTATTGTGTCTGGTACCAGGCAGGCACTCACTGGCTGCTTCTGTAAGAAGGGTGGCAAGGGACGGGGTGGAATCGCCATTCACTCACTCAGTCCTGGGGGCTGGGTTTGCTGAGTTTTTGCCTTGGGCTGCAGGCGGGTTGTAGCCAGAAGCTGGAAGGTGGGAGAAGGGGAGGGAGGACAGCAGGGTCCTAGAGGAAAGGGAGAGGCTGCTCTCAGGGGCGGCACCACTCTGAACCCCTTTTCCTTCCTTGGGAGGAGCTGGCAGCTTTCCTACCCCCAACTTCAGCACAGAGCACTGCTGTCTTTCGCCTCAGCCAACCAGGAGCCACGTGGCAGGTTCCAGCAGATCCCTGGTCTTCTCCTTCTGCAGCCCCCTGGCCTCTCACCTCGCTCAGACCCTCAGTTTCCCCTGTCCCCCCCTGCCTCTCAGCCTGCTTCTTCCCTGCCACCCTTCACATTATGCCAGTTTTGTCTCAAAAGTCTGTGTTGGATCCCATCCCTCTCTGCCTTAGAACAGTGAGTGGCTCTCCATTGCCTATAAGCCGAAGTTCAAACTTTTGTTTTTTTTTTTTGAGACAGAGTCTCGCTCCGTCGCCCAGGCTGGAGTGCAGTAGCGGGATCTCAGCTCACTGCAAGCTCCGCCTCCTGGGCTCACGCCATTCTCCTGCCTCAGCCTCCCAAGTAGCTGGGACTACAGGCGCCCGCCGCCACGCCCAGCTAATTTTTTTGTATTTTTAGTAGAGATGGGGTTTCACCGTGTTAGCCAGGATGGTCTCGATCTCCTGACCTGGTGATCTGCCCGAATCGGCCTCCCAAAGTGCTGAGATTACAGGTGTGAGCCGAAGTTCCAACTTTTTAGTATGCCTTTTGAGGCCTCTTAAACTCAGGCTTCAGGCTGGGCGTGGCAGCTCACACTTGGGCAACAAGAACAAAATTTTGTCTCCAAAAAAAAAAAAAGCAAAAAAAGCAAAGAACAAAACTCAGGCTTTGAACCACCTTGTCAACCTCACCTCTTTCCCTGTTCAGTGCTCCAGCCATAGAGTTGTCCTCTATTCCCGACTAAGCCAGCCTCCCACCCACCTCTGTGCCTTGGACGTGCTGTTCCTCTGTGTACGATGGCTTTCGTTTCCATCTCTGCCTGAAGCACTTCTTTCTGTCCTTCAGCACAAGCTCAAGGTCAACTCCTCTGAAATGTCTTCCCCAGAAGCAGCGAATCTTTTTTCCTTTGTGCACTCACAGTCCCCTGTGCATGCCTCCAGTGGTGCTAATGCTCACTTACACTGCAATTTCTTGTATACTGGGTCTCCCTGCTAGGCTGAGACTCCTTAAGGGCATTAAGGGCAAAATGCCTATCCTCTGTGCCCAGCACAGTGGGCAGAAGCCTGATACAACCAACCCCCCAGGAGCTACTCCGGTCCCCACTTCCCCAAATCTGTCTGTCACCTCCCCAGTCCTTGCTGACTGTGTACCATCCTGGACTCTCCCTCTTTGTCCACCACCTTCTCTTCTTCAGATTGAGTATCCCCTATCCAAAATGCTTGGGAGCAGAAGTGTTTCAGATTTCAGAATATTTGCATTATATCTGCTGATTCAGCATCCCTAATCTGGAAATCTGAAATCCAAAATGCCCCAATGAGCATTTCCTTTGTGTGTGTGATGCTGGCACACAAAAAGTTTCGGACTTTGGAGTATTTTGCATTTTTGGATTAGGGATACTCAATATGTAACACTAGATCAGTTTATTCTTGGATTTTTCTAAGTAGATAATAAAATGTTTTGCAAATGCAGAGTATTTATCTTTTCCTTTCCAACATTTATACTTCTTCCTTTTTTTTTTTTTTTTTTTTTTTTGAGACTGAGTTTTGCTGTCTACCAGCGAGTGCAGTGGCATGATCTCGGCTCACTGCAACCTCCGCCTCCCGGGTTCAAGCAATTCTCTGCCTCAGCCTCCTGAGTAGCTGGGATTACAGGCGCCTGCCACTATACCTGGCTAATTTTTGTATTTTTAGTAGAGACAGGGTTTCACCATTTTGGCCAGGCTGGTCTTGAACTCTTGATCTCATGATCCACCCACTTTGATCTCCCAAAGTGTTGGGATTACAGGCGTGAGCCACCACATCTGGCCTTATACTTCTTAATCTTGAATATTTCATTGCCTAGGGTCTTCAGACAAAGATGAATAAAAGAAAATGATAGCAGGCTGGTCAGGTGCAGTGGCTCATACCAGCAATCTCAGTACTTTGAGAGGCCGAGGTGGGCAGATGGCTTGAGTCCAGGAGTTTGAGACCAGACAGGCCAATATGGCAAAACCACATCTTAAAAAAATCAAAAAACAAAATGTAGCTAGGCACAGTGGCTTGTGCCTGTGGCCCCAGCTACTCTGGAGGCTGAGGTGGGAGGATTACTTGAGCCTGGGAGGCAGAGGTTGTAATGAGCCAAGATTGTGTCACTGCACTCCAGTCTGGATGACAGAGTGAGACCCCATTTCAGAAAAATGAATGAATGAATGAATGAATGAATGAATGATAAATAAATAAATAATTAATTAATTAAAAAGAAAAGAAATGATAGTGGGTACATCTGTCTTTTTCTGACTTTCTTAGAAATTCTTCCCATGGTTCACCATATTCAATGGTGTGCTGGAGATGGCTCGCACTGGCTCACAAGAGCTCATTGTCAACTTTTCAGGAATTGGTGAGACCGTTGTTAAACTGTCGATGGCTGGAAATTGGCCATGGGAATTGGACCACAGAAATGGACACCACAGAAATTGGAAAACACCACAAAATGAGAGCATCAGCATCCCCAGCCTGCTCAACATTTACCAGCACACCACTGTCGTGAGTCTTCTTCATTTTCAATATCCCAACTGCCATCAGAGAGAGGCCAACAAATTCTGATACAGGAGGATAATATAGCAATACACATATCATACGCAAATAAAGAATTACAAATGAGGGTAAGTCTAAAACACAGGTGAACTTGCTCATAACTTGCAGAAATGACATATGAACACTGATAAGAATTGGAAGAGATAAGAGAATCTTGTAAATAATGAAGAACAGATTCAACGTAGTTTGATGCTGCTGCTTTTTGGCAAGTTTACTTTTATTTCCCCAAATTAAAGATCCATGGATAAGGGAATAAAAAAAAATTAGGGGATATGGTGGTAGGGATGGGCCTGGGATTGGGATAGGTCCCAGCTATGGGGCTAGAAGAGGAATAAAGCAGACATCAAAGCTGGAAATGACTTGTGTTTTAATCCTGGTTCCACCACTTCCTGCTGTGAGATCTTGGGCAAATCACTTAGTCTCTTGGACTCTCAGTCCCTCATCTGTGAAATGGGGATACAAAGACATACTTCGCCCTCACTGGCCAGCAGACCAAGGCTCCCACTCCTCTGGGCCCTCTCTGGCTTCTTTCTCCTTAGCTCATCAGGTCCAGGTGGGGTTCTGGGCTACCAGAGAGGTGTTCTATCCTCTACCAGTTCCCACAGCTCCAGCCTTGGTCCCCTAGTGTCCCTGCATTTAACGATCTCTCCTTCAGGCACACTACCCAGAGGCTGGTTCCCAGGCACTCTAGCACCTGTGGCTAGACTTCAATATCTGGGGAGGTGACGTCACATGCAGGGTGAGGCCAGCATGACCAGGGCTGAGGTGACGCTGTGGGCTGGGTCTGGAATGCAGCAATTGTTGGCCCAGCCTCGGGAGGCCTCAGGAATATCTCTGACACCAGGCGAGGAGTCTTCTTTATCCCCTGATATGTCTATCTTGTACCCAGCCTATGGAAATCTCCTTCCAGCACATCTGGACAGAAAGGAAAGGCACCAAGTCCAGCCCTGGACAGATCTGGGTCCAGTCCTGCTCTGACATCTACCAGTGGTGTGACCGTGGGCAGCACGAGTGAAAGAATGGCCAAGACTCATGCAGCTCCCTCTGTGCCCCAAGCCTTGCTCAGCGCTTCACCTGCGTGATCTCCCTAAGGACTCAGTGCCCATAAGGTTTGCACCAGGATTATGCCGCACCGCCCCTCCCACTTCCCTCTGCAGCTCCTGTCCCTAGCCTGGGAAAGGAGAGATATTTGTTACCTGGAAAGACGAACAGAGATATCAGTAAAGACTCATCGGGGCCCCGTTTTTCGATCCCACACCAGTACTTCCCAGCGTCTTGTAGGGTGAGGTTCCACAGTGTCACAATTAGCGAGAGCTCCTGGCGGCTGTCATAGATGGACACCCTGCCCTCCGTCGTCTCCTGGCCTTCTTTTCCCGCATAGATGGTGCCAGAGCAGCGAGGGAAGAGGAGCCCACCCTTCCTGCACCAGTACTTCCGGTGGTCCCTCAGCTCTTCCCTATAGGTGCACCGCAGGGACACAGTGTCCCCTTCGAACCCACTGATTTCCTTCGGGCCCTCCAGGGCTTCATAACCTAAAATCAGAGCAGGAGTGGAGGTTGGAATAACCAGGCTCCATGTACCAAGGTCAAGGCCAGAGCTTCCATTTTAGGAGGAGGAAGGAAGGCTTTTCTCAGTCATCCCTTCTGGGGACAGCCTTGGAAGAGCCATTACTTCCTTCCTACTCTGGGCGAACTTGGGGCAGGGCTGTTGCTGTTTCCCTAACCCTGGCCCATTGAGGAACTGGGGCTGGGGGAGGGTTCTAGGTTCAGATGGAATCTGACAGTCAGATAGCCAGCAGGGTTTCTGGGTGTTTTGTTTTGTTTTGTTTGTTTTTGAGATGGAGTCTTGCTCTGTTGCCCAGGCTGGAGTGCAGTGGCATGATGTCTGCTCACTGAAACCTCTACCTCCCGGGTTCAAGCGATTCTCCTGCCTTAGCCTCCTGAGTAGCTGGGACTACAGCCATGTGCTACCATGCCCGGGTAATTTTTTGTATTTTTAGTAGAGACAGGGTTTCACTGTGTTGGCCAGGATGGTCTTGATCTCCTGACCTAGTGATTCGCCCGCCTCAGCCTCCCAAAGAGCTGGGATTACAAGCATGAGCCACTGCGCCTGGCCTTGTTTTGTTTTTAGACAGGATCTCACTCTGTTGCTCAGGCTGGAGGGCACTGGTGCTCATGGCTCACTGTAGCCTTGACCTCTGGGGCTCAAGCGATCCTCCCACCTTAGCCTCCCACTAGCTAGGACTGCAGGTGTGCACCACCATGCCTGGCTAATTTGTTTGTTTGTTTTTTTTGTAGAGATGGGGTCTTATCATTGCCAAATGAACAACTGACATCAGTTGTAGGATGCATCCTGATTTTGTGTTAGAAGGTAAAGAAAAAGAAAGCAAAAGAATTGACGAAACGTGATAATTCTTCATCTCTCAGGGTTGTGGGGAGAGGCACAGCCGAGATTCAACAAATATATGCTGAGTTTAACAGAGCAACCAGACGGGGTGTCTTGTCTGCCTCCAGGATTGGCAGAGGGTAGAAAAATTAAGATTAGAGAGGCAAAGCAACTCTCACAGCCACAATGCCATGAGGGGAAACCCACAGGTCTGGGAGAAAACCGGCTCTAGGTTCCAGAAACAGCAAGTGGGGCCCGGCGCCGCCCCCACCTCCCCCCACCCCCACCCCGCCCCTCTTCCCTAGGGTTGAGGAGGCTGAGGATAGGTGGGGTGGGCTATCAGGCAGTCAGGAGGTCCTTCCCCTGCAGACCCCAAGGGTGAGCCCCACATCCCTCCCAAGACCCCCTCCCCATCTCACCTGGGAGCACCAGGCAACCCCATAGCAGGACCAGAAGCCGCATTCTGGGCGCTGGACACCGCCGGAGCAGACGCTGGGAACTGTGAGCTCCTCTTCAGCCACGCGGGTCTTTAACTTCCTCTAGTCGCGTGAAACCAGGCCAAGGAAGCGAGGGGAGGGGCGTGTGGGTCACCCCTCCGCAGGCCCAGCCGGAGAGGCGCCTCTGCCTTCCCTTTTCTGAGCGCCCATGCATGCCTACCCCTCGACTCACCTCCCGGGACTGAAAACCCACACTGGCGCTTCTCCCAAACTCTTGCCCCTTCAAGGGGACCTTAACCTGTGGTCCGTGCGCCCTAAGGGGTCTGTAAGTCGAATTCGCATGGGAAAAAGTTACATATTGACTTTCATCAACTTCTAATATTTAGCTTTTCCTCGTATTAACAGTGTACTGTTAGCAGTACCTGCAACTTTGTCACCAATTACAATCACAGACACTGGCACATCAGGTTGTGGATATCTTGAAACCTCGTGTGTACTCCTCACTGTTTAGAAAATAATGAGTTCTGAGACCTGCCTCTAGAGCTGGGTATTAACCATAATGAAACGGCTATTCTTATATTACACATTTATAAAGAGTTTTGAGAATCATCTCACCAGTATTAGTTTTCTTTTCAGCATATATATTTTATTTATATATTTACGCGCCATTATACTGAGAGAGGGGTCCATAAACTTCAGCAGACTGCCATGTGGTCAGTGGGACAGAAAGAAGCTTGTCCCTGGGGCAAGGCCACGGGCCCCTCCTCCGCCATCGCCTTCTGGAGGGCGCAGTACTGCCCTTGGCCACGGGGCGGCGGTGCAGACGGGGCTGAGCAAAGCCGTAGGGCTGAGCTGAGCCGAATTCCCTGGAGCCTTGGGCCCGCAGGGCTGCAAGATAGATCTTCCCCACGCCTGCGGAGTTGTTTTGGCGTTTAAAAAAGTGAATTGGTGGTTTCTCCATCGCGGACTTGAATCCTCCTTGAAAGGAACAAAACAAACATGCAAACTATTGGGAGCCCAGACACACTGGCTTCAAAAATGAGTTTTTTTTTTTTTGGTCTGTTTGCAAAGTTCATACAGATTGTAAGCAAAATTTTACACAATACAGAACGTAAAAAGGAAAGAAAGGAAAAAGGGAGTGTTTCTTGTAATTCCCCTTCTGCTGTAGAAAAGCACCATTAATATTTTGGCATATATCATTCCAAATGTTCAGTTGGAATTTTTCTCACTTGTCAGGTTAATATTTGAAGCATTAACTCAGTGGTTCTGGGAGGGGAGATTGTGTGTGTGTGAGTCTAGTAATGTGGGGAGAAGTGTTTTAATTTCACAATGACTGCGAAGCACTGCTGCCATTTCTGGGCAGGGGCAGCTGTTCACGTTGGTGAAAACTCTGTTACCATGATCTCAGCCCCTTCCTCCCTTTTACATGTACAGGCTACAAAATGTGATCTGTTCTTGCAGTTAAAAAAAAAACACATATTAAAAAATATTTGGCCGGCTGCCGCGGCTCACACCTGTAATCCCAGCACTTTGGGAGGCCGAGGCGGGCGGATCACGAGATCAGTAGTTCAAGACCATCCTGGCCAACATGGAGAAACCCGGTCTCTACTTAAAAAAATACAAAAATTAGCTGGGCATGGTGGCACATGCCTGTAATCCCAGCTACTCTGGAGACTGAGGCAGGAGAATTGCTCGAACCGGGACCCAGAAGGCAGAGGTTGCAGTGAGTCGAGATGGTGCCACTGCTCTCCAGCCTGGGCTACAGAGTGAGACGCTGTCTCAAAAAAATAAATTAAAAAAAAAAAATTATGACCCAGCACGGTGGCTCATGCCTGTCATCCCAGCACTTTGGGAGGCCGAGGTGGACGGATCACCTGAAGTCGGGAGTTCGAGACTAACCTGACCAACGTGGAGAAACCCAGTCTCTAATAAAAATATAAAATTAGCCAGGCGTGGTGGCACATGCCTATAATCCCAGCTACTCAGGGAGGCTGAGGCAGGAGAATCGCTTGAACTCAGAAGGTGGAGCTTGCAGTGAGCTGTGCCATTGCACTCCAGCCTGGACAACAAGAGTGAAACTCTGTCTAAAAAAAGAAAAAAAATTATTTGTTTATTTATTTACTTATTTTGAGACGGGTCTCACTCTTGTTGCCCAAACTGGAGTGCGGTGGCATCATCACAGCTCACTGCAGCCTCAAACTCCCAGACTCAAGTGATGCTCCCACCTCAGCCTCCCAGGTAGCTGGCACTACAGGCGTACACCACCATGCCTGGCTAATTTTTTATTTTTAGTAGAGACAGGGTCTTGTTATGTTGTCCAGGCTTGTCTCAAACTCCTGGTTTCAAGCAATCCTCCCACGTTGGCCTCCCAAAGTGCTGGGATTACAGGCACGAGCCACCATGCCTGGCCTTAAAATAATATTTATTCTAACATTTGATAGCATATCTTTGCTCTTTTATTTATTTATTTTTGTCCTTACACAGAACAATTTCTGATCCTCTACGTTTCTTAAATTCAGACTTATTTATTATATGCAAGATAAGTATCTGACACTTCATTACGCCTTCTAGTATCATGGGACCTGAGCACTGACAGACTGAAATATGTGTCATTTGGTTATAAATCGCTTTCCTTTTATTTTTTTCTCCCTAGTATAGCTCAGGCACTAGAGTGTGATTTTAAAAAAAGTAAGTGCATGAGAAGGCATATTATTTACGATTGTCATTTTAAGAGAGTAAGTGAGGTGTTACCAAATGTTTATCTATATAAAGAGGGTGTTGAGTGGGTCCCTACCCTCTTCCTGCACATTTGAAGGTCCTACCCCTCCACTTCCCAGCCCCACACCTAGCTCAGGAGGCTGGCTTAAGAACTCCATTAGAAACAGATTCACCAGGCTGGGAAGTGGAGCAAGGGCTGGGGAGAAGGGTGAAAGTGAGGTACTGGCATGAGCCTTGCACCTAGTTCTACCCTTAGGCCACACTCTGGGGTAGAAGGGGCTGACAGGCAGACCGCCGTGGTGGGCTGGGGATCTGAGGAGAGAGGACACTTTCGTCCTGCTTCCCACCAGAAGCACGGGGAGGTGCCCCACCATCACTGCATGTGGGAGAAGCAACGGGGTACAAGGGCTCCCGGACAGATCACTGGGCTCGTGGCAGCCTCATCGCATCCTCAGGAAGGGCTCTGTGTGCCGAAGAGGTGCAATTGCAGGGATGAGGGGACTGAGCTGCTTGATCTTCGATGGCCACCCTGGTCCAATTCCTTTCGGTTTGGACTTGGACTAAATCACTTCAGCTGCTCCAAGAGGGTCACTTGCTTCTCTTAGATCAAGGTTTCCCCAACCTCAGTACTATTGACATCTTGGGTTAGATAATTCTTTGTTGTGGGAGGCTGTCCTGTGAATTATAGGATGTTTAGCAGCATCTCCAGCTGTACCCCCTAGATGCCAGTAGTCCCTCCCCAGTTGTGATGATCAGAAATGTCTCCAGGCTGGGAGAGGTGGCTCACGCGTATAATCCCAGCACTTTGGGAGGCCAAGGTGAGTGGATCGCTTGAGCCCAGGAGTTTGAGACCAGCCTGGGCAGCATGACAAAACCCCATCTCTGCAAAAAATACAGAAAATCAGCCAGGCATGGCAGTGTGCACCTGTGGTCCCAGCTACTCAGGAGGCTGACGTGACAGAATCACCTGAGCCTGGGAGGTCAAGGCTGCAGGGAGTCGAGATCCCACCACTGCACCACAGTCTGGGCAATGGGAGTGAGACCTTGTCTAAAAAAAAAAAAAAAAGGCCTCTGGGCATTGTCACACATTCCACTGGGAGGCAAAAATATCCTGGGTTAGAACTGCTGTTTTAGATGTGGAATAAGTCTATGGACAAGTAAGTGCACTTTCGTGTAAGTTATGTTTATTGTTTATGTAGGTCAGGGTGTTCCATTTTTCGGCTTCCCTGGGCCACAATGGAAGAAGAAGAATTGTCTTGGACCACACATGAAATACAGAAACACTAATGATTGTTTTGGGCAGCCTTTAAAGCCATCCTGTGCTGCATGCAGCCCGTGGGCCGTGGGGGGACAAGCTTGATGTAGGCGTAGTAACAAGGTTTCGGAAACAGGACAGTGGGCAGAACCTAATGCTGAACCCCAGAATCAGGTAAAACTGCATCCCTCTTCCCTCAGTGGAGCTGGGGCCATGCCTGTAATACTCAGGGTGAGGTGTGGTGCAGCAATTTAGAATACATACTTTTTGCAGGTGGGCCAGCTCCCCAGAGAAAAGGAATAAGAGGGCTGGGTTACACACGCCTCGTTCCTCCTTCAACATTCATCCATCAAATCAGCAGAGGTGTGGAGAAGGGCATGGAGAGAGGTGTGGAGAGAGTCCTAGAGTTCTGGGCCAGTGGGGTTCTCTGCTCGTGGAAGGAAACATCAGCAGTGGGGAAGATGTGTCCCCAGCAAAGACAAATGAGCCACAAGACAGGAAAATTTGGATTCCTGAGCTACCACTTGGAAGACAACTGCCCTGGACAGCCACCAAGCGTGCGGCAGACTTGGAGTGAGCAAGCGACAGACTTTTCTGTGTTTAGCCACTGAGATCTTGCAGTTTGCTCGTTGCTGTAGCACAGTGTAGACCACCACCATGCTTTTTGTTTTCTGTCATACATTCATCCTCTAGTCTCCCCTCAGCTTAACTACCCTAGCTGGTTGCAAACTTGATTTTTCAACTTTCTCTGTCAAACAAATCTGAAAACTCCCTTTCTTTTCTTTTTTTTCTTTTTTCTTTTTTTTTTTTTCTTTGAGACAGCAGGATCTCACTCTGTCACCCAGGCTGGAGTACAATGGCGCGATCTCGGCTCACTGCAACCTCCACCTCCTGGGTCCAAGGGATTCTTGTGCCTCAGCTTCCTGAGTAGCTGGGATTACAGGCATACATCACCATGCCCAGCTCATTTTCTTGTATTTTTAGTAGAGACAGGGCTTCACCACATTGACCAAGCTGGTCTCAAACTCCTGACCTCAAATGATCTGCCTGCTTCGGTCTCCCAAAGTGCTGGGATTACAGGTGTGAGCCACCGCACCCGGCCCCTCTCAAATTTTTTATGTTGACCAATTACTTCTGGGAATGGCAGGGAATATGATGGAGGAGGGCAGTCATGGGAGACTGGTAATGCCTTGGAAGCTGAATCAGTAAATTCCCACATTTACTGATAGGTAAATTTCAAATCTCAGAAACTTTGAAGGCTAACTGCAATGTATTGTCCTGGACTGGATCCCAGAACAGAGAAAGGATGTTCATGGAAAAACTAGTGAAAGATTAATAAAGTCTGGAATTTCCCTAATAATAACGTACCAGTGTTCATGTCTTAGTTTTGACCAATGTATCATGATTACGTAGGATGTTAACATTAGAGAAAACAGGGGGAAAGGTGTTCAGAAACTCTCTGTACTATCTTTGCAACTTTTCTGCAA